AGATGTGCAAGGCCACTTGCCGGAGCGGGGTCACCCGCCAGGATACGACATGGACACTTCTTACTACGTTCCTTTATGCTCCACGGATCCGGATAGCAAATATGATCTGGACTCCGATGAGCACGGGAAGTACATCGAGCTCTGCTTCACTGCAGACATGTCCAAAGTCGTCCTGTCCGAGCAGCAACACCGATTGTTGGATGACAGCAGCGTCACAACTATGCGAGTATACGTTAGTGCTGCCTCCAAACGTGCCGTGGTCGTCAAGGAAGACGATCTACTCACGAAGGCCGACATCCAAGCAAATCCGGTCAAAGTTTCCAAAGCCCTCTACACAGAATTGAAGACTTGGCTTGACAACAAATGCTTCCAGATGACTGACTTAAGCAAGGCGTCTAACATCATGACGTCACGCTACGTATACAAATGGAAGTTTGTCAAGAACGAAAAGGGCGAAATGGAAAGGACGATCAGGTTACGCTTGGTACTCCGTGGCTTCATGGACCTTGAAGCCTTTGATGTCGAAACCTTCTCTGGCACGGCAAGGAGGTCAAGCCAGAGACTGCTCGCAAGTTCTGCTGCATGCAACAAAGCTTGGATCATCGCTTCCCTGGACATCAACATGGCTTTCTTGAAGGGACTGACCTATGGCGAGCTCGCCGCGGCAACGGGCGAGAAAGAGCGTGTGGTGTGCTTCACACTACCACCTGGGTCAGCAGCTGTCCTTCGCACACTGCCAGGCTTTGAGTCATATGACGAATCAAAGCATTGTCTCCGGTGTCTGAAACCGGGGACGGGCACGAAGGATGCTCCCAGGGCATTCTCGCTGAAGCTCAGGTCCATCACTAGGAGCTTTGGGCTACAGCCTACTTCATACGACGAAGAGTTCGAGATGAGCCCAAACCTCTTGACAGCCAAGCACGTTGATGACATCAATATGACTGGGAAGGAAGAGGCTATTGACAAGTATGTCAAGTGTGTTGAAGATACGTTTGGGAAGTGCAAACTGAACAAGCACACATACACAAACTGTGCCGTTCGGTACAACAAGACCGATGATGGGAGCGTCACTCTTGATCAGGACGAATACATCAAACAGCTTCGTCCTATCACACATCCAGAGCTCACAGGAGCTGATCCTGAGAGCAAAGCGACAAAGACGATTTCTGATATGTTCGTCAGTCTTCGTGGCGCTCTAGCCTATGCGTTGATCACGCAGGTATGGCTGATGGTCTATGTTGTCTCACTACAACGTATCCAGGAACCGACAAACATCCAGGTACGACGACTAAACGCGGTTACCAGAAAGCTACAGGCAGGTCCGAAGAAGATCGTGTATCAAGCTATGACCCCAACAGGAGAAGTCGACCTGCATAGCGATTCTGGCTATCGTCGTCTCAACGGAGATGAAGACGACGAAGTCAAAGGCTATGGTATCCGCGGGGCTAACCTGCTGAGGCGTGGCCACACGCAAGCGGGGAAACCCGTCGTGCACCTGGTGGACGCATACTGCAAGTCTCATCGACTGCAGGTGCGTTCGAGCTACTCTGCGGAAACACTGGCAGCAGCCCACAACTTGGAAGACTGCTACCCGACCATTGTAACGCTCCACGAGCTACACTCGGGACCATTGACCCCCACACAGTTAAAGAACATATTGGAAATGGGTGGTCTATGTATCAAAGTCACTCTGACTATTGATGCCGAGTCTGTCTTCAAGTCTTTGTCTAGCAAAGATCTGAAGAAGCCCACAGAATGTACTCTGCTTGGGCACATCAGCTGGATCCGCCAGATGATGGAACGCGGAATCGTGGAAAGCGTCCAATGGTGTGACACGCGGGATATGACTGCCGATGGTCATACCAAAGGTAGTATTGACCGCGCGTTGCTCCTACAAGTAATGGCCGGCCAGCAATCCTTCAAGCACGAGCTGAAGAAACATACACCGTATAGGGCGGGCAGGTCGTCTGAGGACGGCCCTGCCTCCCGAGCCAGCGGGGAAACCCGCGGGCAGGTGCGCTTTAGTAGCGAGGAAACTCGCCGGTAGCGAGGCTACTCGCGCGCCCTTCCTTGTAGGCAGCCGCTGCTGCTTAGCACTGTTTTTCCGCATAGTGTAGAAGTGCGGTACCTGCTCGTCTCCTCCCCCTCCGACTTTAAACGGAGAAGGTTAAAGGCGAGGTATAAATCGAGCATGTACCGCTGCCGTGCCTGGCTCAAGCCGGGCCCGGCCAAATATATGACTGTGCCTCACTGAGGCGCACGACTTGCATCAGAGATCGGAAAATACCTTTTCCATTGACGATGCCCATCCTATCCTTTACTCCAGATCCCATGCTTCGTCTCGCTCTCTTGCTCATGCGATATGAGCCAAAGCCTGGGATATGGCAACGCTTAAAGCGTAACACATACCTAAGCTTACCAGCTTGTTTTCGACTATACACAGACATAGACACACGTAGACATACATGCACATACATATACATATGCATATACATATACAAACGTATGTATGTGTGGATGTATGCATGAATGTCTGTATGTAGGTAGGCAGGCAGGCAGGCAGGCATGAATGTATGTGTGGATGGATGGATTGATGGATGGACGGACGTATGCATGCATGTGTGTATGTATTGATTGATGTATGTATGTATGGGTGTATGGATATGTATACATGCATGCATGTATGTATATTTGTGCGTATATATGTACATCTGTATCTATTTATGTAGGTATGTCGGGATATGGTATGCATGCATGCATGCATGCATACATGCATGCATGCATGCATGTATGACTGCATATGTGTGAATGTATGTCTGTATGCATGCATGCGTGCATGCATGTATGTGTGTATATATGCATGTATTTACGTAGGTAGGTATGTATGTATGTATGGACTCATATATGTATGCGTGCATGCATGCATGCAAGTATGTACACATGTGTATGCATGCATGTCTGTACGCATGTATGCATGTATGTATATATGCATGTCTGTCTGTATGCATATGTGTATGTGTATGTATGTATGCATGTATGTATGCATGCATGTATGGATATGCATGCATGCATGTCTGTATATGAGTGTATGTATGTATGTATGGACTCATATATGTACGTGTGTGTGTACATATGTATGGATCAGTATGCATGCATGCATATATGCATGTATATGTGTATGTGTATGTTTGTATGGTTGTATGGATCTGTATGCAAGCATGCATGTATGTATGTGTATGTGTATGCATGTATGTATGTATGTGTGAATATATGTGTATGCATGTATGTGTATGTATGTCTATGTGTGTATGTATGTATGTGTTTGTTTATGCATGTATACATGTGTCTATTTATGTTGGTATGTATGTGTGGACCTGTATACATGCATGTATGTATGTATGCATGTATATATATATGTATATGTGTATTTATGGCAGTATGTATGCATATAGGTATGTATATATATATATATATAGCTGGCTGCCTGTCTGTCTGTCTGTCTGTATGCATGTATGTATGTATGTATGTACGTACGTATGTATGTATGCACGTATGTATGTATGCATGTATGTATGTACGTATGTATGTATGTATGTATGTATGTATGTATGTATGTCGACATACATGTATGTATGTATGTATGCATGCATGTATGTATGTATGTATGTATGTATGTATGTATGTATGTATGTATGTATGTATGTATGTGTACACACATATATATATATATACGTGCACACTAGAACCACGCGCGCTTCGCGCGTGCTTCGGTTCTAGCATGCTCTGGTTGAGCGTTCGGCATTGGAGGACACATCTTGTCACACAGATCGTGCCCCTCAGGGAGCCTCACCTGCGGCCCCAGAGACAGGCCTGGCTTAGCGCCCCACCGCCCATGTTGGCACACCCTTCACAGGGATCGCGCCCCGCAGTGAGCTCCACCTGCGTCCCCAGAGACAAGGTTCGCAGACTGGCACGCCCCTCAGGCGGATCGTGCCCCGCAAGTACATGCATTTGTGGCACCGGAGGCAAGCTTCATAGCGTTGCCCAGCTCACTCCAGCACACCTCTCACACGGATCGTAGCCCACAAAAAGTTTCCACGGACGGCCCCAAAGACAAGGTTCGCATTCCGCCTCCCCGCGGGCCCAGTTTTGGTCTTCCTCTTTCTCCTCTTCCTGCTCCTCCTCGTCCTCCTGGTCCTCGTCTTCGTCCCTCCTCCCCCTCCTCTTCCTCCTCCTCCTTCTCCCTTCCTTCTGTATACGACATGTTCGGACCTCTGGGGGCCTCTTGGGGGCCTCGCATAGGAGAGCGGCATTTGCAAGCAGCACCCTCGACGCCGAGTCCATTCGGAGCAGGGCCGCGGGCCGACCCTGGTTCGGCTGTGAACGGGTCCCAGGGCAACGCTACGCTGAATCGGAGTGTTTGGTGGGATGGCGCGGACCATCCTCCTCCTTTCGGGGGCGGAAAAGAGGGGGGTGATGATTAGGGGGGGGATGGATTTCATGGCGCGGGCCATGATTTTTCCTCAGATTTCATGGCGCCTCATCTTATTTCATTACGTCCCAGGCCCCCCCGCTGGGCCGCGCACATGCCGCCGGTCATGATTTGCACCCCCCCCTCTTGGACGCCCCCCTCTTGGCCGCTCCCGATCCTCTTCGGTCTCCTCGTCGAACCGGCGGCGACAGTCATGTTCTTGGGAGGCTCTCTTGGAGCATGACGGCGAGGGCCGTGCTGCAGTCCTCGTGGAGGTCTCCAGGGCACCCCACGTGAGGCTGCAAAGTTCGAAGGGCAGCCGGATGGAGCCATCCGAAAATTTCGAGATGGAGGTGTAGGGTAACGAAGCAAAAACCTGTCGGAGCCGGGAAGGTCACGGCAGTGACTGTGAGAAGGAACGTAGGGGCTGCGACGCCTCCAGAGGGGGGATGGGGCTGCTTCTTCGCAGGGGGCCAGGCTGCAAAGTTGCTGTGGGGCACCCGGCGTCCGCCCCAGCTGCCGCCGGCAGGCCCGCGATCCGCGACAGCGTCGCCCCTGGCACCGAGATGGGCTCGGACCCGCTGGAGGATCGCCTGTGCCGGCAGAGCGACGAGGCGCTCGCCGCGCTCGACCGTGCCAGGCTGGCCGTGACCGCGCGACCGCTGGACAGGGCGGTGGGGAAAGCGGACGACGACGACGACGACGACGACGACGACGACGACGACGACGACAATGACGGCGGCGGCGGCGGCGGCGCGGAGGCCAGCTGCCAGTGAGGGGAAGCAGTTCAGAGCTCCAGGCCAAGAATGGGGGAGGATGGGGATGAAGCCGAGGAGTACGAAGAGTGCGCGCAGGCGGGAATTGGAGGAGGAGGAGGAGGAGGAGGAGGAAGAGGAGGAGGAGGAGGAGGAGGACGAGGAAGAGGAGTAGCAGGGGGGAGATGTTCAAGACAAAGCAAGAATGGGGAGGGGGTGGGTAGGAGGGGGAGGGGGAGGAGGGGGGAGTGGGAGGGTCGGGCCAGGCTGGGCAGTACTTGGGAGGCTCCGTAGCCTGGAGGCCAGCTGGCAGTGAGGGGAAGCTGTTCAAAGCTCCAGCCCAAGGATGGGGGAGGATGGGGATGAAGCCGAGGAGTACAAAGAGTGGGCGCAGGCGGTAAGGAGGAGGATGAGGAGGAGGAGGTGGAGGAGGAGAATGAGGATGAGGATGATGATGAGGAGGAGGAGGAGGAGCAGGCGGGAATATTGAATGGGAAGGAGGACAAAGGAGGATGGGGTTGGGAGGAGGAGGAGGAGGCGGAGGAGGAGGCAGGAGGGAGGAGGAGGAGGAGGAGGAGGAGGAGGAGGAAGAGGCGGAGGAGGAGGAGGAGGCGGAGGAGGAGGAGGAGGTGGAGGAGGAGGAGGAGGAGGGGGGACGAGGATGGAAGCTGCATGAGGAAGGCGGACATGGACAATCAGATGAACCCGCATCCTATGAGACACACCTCGCACCTTCGTGTCGTGTTGCCTGCGCGTAGCCACCGAGCACGAAGAGACGGGTGCAAACACAACCGAAGAGCGCTGAGCAAACCAGTTTTCAGCCTCCAGAGATTGGGTGTTCGACCGGGAAGCGGAGGGCCGGTTGAGCATCCGCCAGAGGACCGTGCGTATGCAGCACTTTGCGTGCGGGAGTTTTGACGCATCGGTGGAAGATTTTGGTGGCTGCATGCGTGGGCGTGCACAGCCGCTTTATCCTCAAGTTGGATGGGGCCGCGGGGCGCGTCATCGCCAACCCACGGGCCCCAACCCATCCGCCGACTGGTGGCATCGCAACGAGGGTCTACCGCGCGCGAGAGTGTTCCGTTGTACTTTGAGGAGCTGCTCAGGCACTGGCCCGTGGCAGGTCTGGCGGGCCACCGCGTGGTCCGAACGCTCCGCCATCCTGAACTCGTCGGGCGCTGGTTCAGCCGCGGGTCTGAGTCGCGGTATTCCGTCTTCTGTGCAGCGGGTGGCGGGCGCACTCGCGGTGGCGCAGAATTGGCCTCCACAGACCTGTCCGGCATTCGCCCCCTCGCCTGGTGTCCCCAGGCCCGTACCTGTTTCAGAGCGTAAATTACCTACCCCGCTTTCGCTTCCAGGCAAAACCAAGTCATACCACGCGCCTCCTCGTCAAGCGGCCTGACCAGTACAGGCCGTAGTTTGGCATCGCTTGGTATCTCTTGGAAGCGAGGGTGGTCAAAAGCGAGGTAGGTTTGTTTGTCCCCTACTGTTAGAGTGCCGTCTCCTTGACCTCGCTCGGCCAGGCCCAGCCCTACGGCTCGACGCGTCTGCTGGCCTGCCCGGGCGCAGGCAGTAAAAAGGCGCGCAGCGGTGGACAGGCCTCCGGGTGCAGGGCAGCCGACGCCAAGGCAGAGACACGCCTTCGGCGCCTACCCGCGGGAGGCCCACGATCGCAGGCCTAGAGGTTGACACCAACACCAAGATCGGCGGTGTGCATGCACCGAGGGAAGAGGATCCCGATCTCGGTGATGGTGGTAATATTCTGGCTTCCAAGGTGGCCGAAATATTGCCACCAACACCGAATTCTAGGATCATCTCCTCCACGTGGAGGCAAACCCAACAACAATGTCAATGTCAATGTCCCGAGGCAATCCTGGTGTTGGTGTCAATGTCCGGGCCTCCAACACGAGGCCGTGCTGCCGAGTAAGTCGGCCTGAGAGGCACCGTCCCCCCCCCTCCCGTCGCGGGGCCGCAGCAGCCAGCCCCGCGCGCGCTGGCCGGCCAGCCGCGGGGGGGCTTTTGGCTGCTCCTCCTCCTCGCTGTCTGTCTGCACGTCTCCTCGCATGCCTTCAGCTTGACCTCGCGGTCTTGGTTGCCTCGGGTTACAGCCGAGCCCACCTCGGGGTCAGCTTCTTGCTGACGCTGGGATCCGCGAGTTGTGTCATTCGAGGGTTTCCTGCGTACAAATCTACTGCTGCTGCTTCCTTGCCTCCCGACCCTGTGCAGCTGCGCGTTGCTTGCTGCGACCCGCCATCGTCCGCCTTTTCTTCCCCTCTTTTCTGGCTCCTGTTTCGCTCGTGTTCCTGCCCCCCCCTCCTTGCGGCTTTCCACTCGGTCTGCTCTGCTGCTTTTTCCCATGTCGTCAGTTGTCTGTTCCTCCCTGCTGCATGTTGGCCTTTTCCTATCTTTTCTGGTGGCCAATACGGGTTGTCCTGAGCTCTTTCCGTTCGTGGTTGGTTTTGAACTTAGCGGCCTGCCAAGCACGACTTCGTGTTGTGTTGGGTTTTACTTGGGCCGTCCAACATGCACGCAACTCCTGGGACGCGCCGCGCTCCTGCAACGTGTTTCCAGAATGAGAACGGAAGGTCTCTCTCTCTCTCTCTCTTTCCATTTGCCTGTCTGTTTGTCTGCCTGTCCGTCTCTCTCGTTCTTCCCTAACTCTGGGCAGAATGGGCACGGCGGAACCCCAGGCGGGCCCTTGAGCCTTCGGAAGCTCACGTCACGGACTTTGTCTTGCTGCGCTTCCTCAAGTGCAATCAGCTGGACGCGGGAGGGGGGGACCCCCCTCCCTTCCTCCTCCTCCTCCTCCTTCTCCTCATTGTCCTCCCTCTTCCTCCTTCCTCCTTCCTCCTTCCTCCTCCTCCTCCTCCTCCTCCTCCTCCTCCTTCCTCGTCAGGAGACCCCCGCAGCACCCGGCGGTGCCCTCCCCATCTCCTGCCCGTGCTGCCGCTCTTGCCCCTCCCGGCCCCACGGCCCCGGCTCAGTGCGCTCTGTCTCATCGCGCCGCCGCTCCCTCTGCTCTCACCTCCTCCCTCCCCCCTCCTCCACCCCCCGTCGCATGCAGTCAGTCCTCCGCCTCGCTCCAACTCCTGCTGCTGCTGCTGCTCTTCATCTCCTCTCCTCCCCCCTCCTCCATCCCCGTCGCATGCAGCCCCCCGCCTCGCCACATATGCTGCTGCTGCTGCTGCTGCTGCTGCTGCTGCTGCTGCTGCTGCTCTTCGTCTCCCCCTCTCCTCCCCCTCCTCCCCCCTCCTCCCTCCTTCTCTCCCTCCTCCCCCTGCTCCCCCCTCATCGCCCCTCCCAGAGGGCAGCTGTGGCGGCCACATCCGGGGCATGGTGGTAGGAGAGGGGGAATGCACGCACCTGGACTTCCACGTCATGGTGTACGTCAACCCGCGCGGCGGGGCGCCCTGGGAGGGGCTTGTGCGGGGCGGCGCGGCGCGCGCAGAGGCGGCTCCAGAGGGGCGGGTGGACTGAGCAGACGCTGCTGGAGGCGTGCGATGGCATCGCCTCCGGGCATGCTCGCACGCTGGAGTCGCACGTGCCGTGGTGGGCGGCTATCCTGCCGGCGCGGGGCTGGTGTTCTGGGAGCCGTGCGGCCCGCGCTTGCCTCGCAATTTAAAACATGTTTCCTGGCTTTGGGGTTGTGGAAGTGTTTAAGTAGGGGCTGCGTCTGTGTGTGTGTGTGTGTGCCGTGTCGGGCTGTCGTGCGTGTGTCGGGTCGCTTTCCTCTTCCTCGTCCATGCTTCCTCGTCGCTGTCTTTGCTACTCGCCACATCGGCCCCCCCACTGCCCATCGTGTTCCACGTCCTGCAGGGCAGCTCGCGGTTCCCCAGGTTCTTATGGGGTTCAGCCACCGCAATGTCCCATGGGTGAGGTGCGGGTTCCCTGTTTCCCAGCAGGGTGCGATGGCTGAGGGCACGCGCCGGCCGCGTCGGTCGCTTGGATTTGCGCGTCGTGTCGAGTGTCTTCTGGTTGTGGGGTTGGCATGGGCGCGGGGGGGGGGAGGGCGTTGCGCGCGGTCGGCGGGGTGGCGGTGGTGGAGAGAGGCTGGGGTTGGGGCGTGACAGGAGGATTGGGGTGGGGCGATGGGGTCGGCCCTCTGTGCCGCTCCTTCTTCCTCCTAGTGCCCGTTTGCTTCGCGCGCCCCGCAGCATTTGGACTCGACGTGGCTGGTCTTTTGCCGAGCGGGCGCGGGGGCGAGGCGAAACAGATCTGGTCTTGGGAAGTGAATGCGGTTCCGCCCCAGGGTTGCGGGGGGGGTCGGGGTCGTCGTCGCTGTCGTCGTACTTTGCCGCTCGGCGGTTCTACGGTCGTCCCGAGTTTCCCGGTTTGGTCCGTTGCAGGGTCATGGCGTGCGCGGGTGTCCGGGCGCCGAAGAGGAGCACCGTGCAGGAGCGGCGGGCGGTTGGGCTCGGGTCGCTGGACTGCACCATGCGGAACGCGTGCGTGGACGTGCATGTGTTGGGCGCGGCGTGCTCAGCGCTGCGGGATCGCTTCTGGGCGGCGGGACTGGGAGGGAACGGGAATGGGGGGGGTGGCTGGCTGGGAGGGTAGCTTCTTCCGGCGGCGCGCGATCGTTTCCTTCGATCCTGGTCGGGGGCAGGTCGGGTCTCCAGCGGAGCGGCCGTCGGGCGGTCGTCTGTTGACCTCCGTGGTCTGCTGCGGTCGGGCGCTTGCACGGGCAATGAGGCGGTGGAAACCTTCACGTTCATCGACAAGGCTAATGGGCGGACGGAGCGGGTGTACGGGGTCGCTGCCGGCTTTGCCTGGGAACGTGGTGTCCATGACTTTCTTCGACGGCGCCAACGAGAAGATGAAGGCGGCGTGCGCGGAGGTGCCCGTGGCGCTGCGGTTGCGGGGTGGCATGGTGGACGTACGTCGATGCCCTGACAGTCTGAACTTTGTCTTGTTCGCTTCGGCCTGTCTCCATGGTCGCGCTGTGGTGGTGGCGATGGGGTGTTCGCGATGTGTGTGTGTGTGTGTGTGTGTGTGTATCGCTCTGCAAGGATCGGTGCTGCGGTCGGATCATCGTGCCCGCTTCGGAGGTGATCGTTTCGGGAGGGGAACGGGCATTGTCTTCTGCGTGCTCGCGAGGCTCCATTATGAGGCGGACCCGCGCGCGCGCGCGAGGTACGGTGCGCGTGCGATCGGGGCAGGGTTCGCTGGAGGTCACGAGACGTCGCTGTCCACGATCATGTACGACATGACGTTCAACAATAAGTTCAGTGTGGAGAAGTTGCCGGAGGGCGCGCCCGGGGTCGGGGACGTGGAACAGGTGGTGGCGAGCCCTGGCGGGCGCCCGGGCCACGTGGCGGCCGTGGTGACCAGGGTCGGTGAGGTGAAGCTCGTCAACCGCAGCGACGTCGCCAGGGACCGGAGCAACGAGGTGATGGAGGTGGAGCTTGCCGTCGACAAGGGGGCGGCTCCGATGGCGTGCTTCCTCGTTGTGAACGTGTGGGGCAAGGTTGCGCGCGTGCTGCAGGGCGGTCTCCGTGGGCAGGAGCCGCCGTTCGCGGTCATGGTGCACGGCCTGTCTCTGCGGGCGGCGGGGGGCGGCAAGTTGAAGGCGACGCTGAGGGGCGGCGGGGTCATTCGGGCCGTGGAGGTGCCGGCGCTGCTGGAGTGGTATAACTCGGTGAAAAGCGATCTGGTGTTGGCCACCCGGGTGTGCAGGGCGCCGACCTTGGGCGATGCCGTGGGCGTGAGCGGGGCGGAGTTTCGGCGCTTGCACGAGGGGATCGAGGCAGGTGGCGCGGACGACTTGCAGAGTGCGTGCTTGGAGAAGACGGCGGAGGGGCGCGCGTGCAACGCCAAGACGGTGGCGGGCTATTGCTGGCGGTGCGAGAAGGAGGTGCAGACGGGGCCGTTCATGTTCGCGCGGGTGCAGCTGCGCTCGGAAGATGGGTCGAAGGCGAGGGTGACTGTCCTGGGGGCCGCGGGGGAACAGTCCCTCGGCGTGACGGCGCGGCGCGTGGAGCGGTTGAAGAGCGTGTCCGTGAGCACTGGTGACGCGGCGCGGTCGAACCTGGACGCCGTCGTTCAGGAGGCGAAAGGGGGTGAAGTGGACGGTTGGGGTGAAGTTGGAGGGGTACGACACGGATGACGGCGTGTTGGCGTCTGCGACGGTGTTCGAGGTGAAGAAGGTGCTGAAGCGTTCGGCGGAGGATGCGCTGGGAGGGGCCGTCGTGAGCACGGCGGCTGTTTCGGCGGCCGATGGCGAGACGGCGGCGCCGGGCACGGCGGCGGGTTCGGGGGGCGCGGCGGCGGCTTCGGCGGCCGCTGTCGGGACGGCGGCGTCGAGCTCGGCGGCGGCTGCGGCGGCCGATTGCGACATGATGGCGCAGGAGGAGAGTTGAGTCGCCAGGGGGGGTTTGGAGTAACGCGAGGAGGATGGGGTCACAGGGCGGGCTCGGCAGGGCGGCCTCTCGGGGCTTCCTGGGGTGTTCTTGGAATTGAGGCCGTCCTGGAGCCCTTATGGGACGTCTGGTGGGTTGTCCTGGGGGCCTCTTGGGCCGTCTTGGAGTTGTCTAGGAGGCCTCTTGGGCCGTCTTGGAGCGTCGGGAAGCCGACGGCGCGAGAGCCGCAATGACCTTGAACAACCAATGGGAACAGTAATGATGTTTTCTTCTTGGGGCCCTCTTCGGGGGCCTCTCGCAGGCTTCCTTGGGCGTCTTGGAGGCCTCTTGAGCTGTCGGGGGGGCCATTGTGGTTGTCTTGGGGTGATCATTTGGCGGCTTTTTGCTCGCTGGGACTGTCCGTGGCGGCTCTGTCGGCCTCCGGCGCAACTTTGGGTTCCTCCTGGCAGAGGAGGAGGTGGAGGACGAGGAGGAGGGGGGCGAGGAGGAGGAGGAGGAGGAGGAAGAGGAGGAGGGATGAGGAGGAAAAGGAGGACGAGGAAACGAGAACGCGCGTCGCGTTCAGTTTGTTCACGGTCAGCGTTCTCCGTTTTCTCCGCCTTGCCTTTCCCCATTTTATGTCCTGTCTGTTTTTTCTTATTTTTTTGTTGTTCTTATCCTCCTGCTTGTCCTTCTCCCTTCTCCACCCCGTTCTATTTATTGTCCCCTCGCCTCCTCTTTCTCTTCATCATCCCCATTCCCATCTCTTGCGGGGAGTCAATGAACGCCGATCAGATGCAAGCTGGGGGGTGGAGGAGGAGGAGGAGGAGGAGGAGGAGGAGGAGGAGGAGGAGGAGGAGGAAGAGGAGGAGGAGGGGGGATGATGATGATGATGATGATGAGGATGATGATGATGGGATGATGATATGGAGATGATGATGATGATGATGATGATGATGGATGATGATGATGATGATGATGATGATGATATGGTGATGATGATGATGATGATGACGAATGATGATGATGATGATTGATGATGATGGATGATGATGATGATGATGATGATGATTGATGAGGTAGGAGGAGGAGGATTGATGATGAGGAGGGGAGGAGGGGAGGAGGAGGAGGAGGAGGAGGATGAGGAGGAGGAGGAGGAGGAGGAGGGCGTCGGCGAGGATGATGATGATGGTGATGAGGAGGAGGAGGATGATGTCCGTGTCGTCGTCGGCGTCGGCGCTGGTGCAGTGCCGGCGCCGGCGGCGACGGCGACGACGACGACGACGATTCCGACGACTCCGACGACGACGATGTCGACGACTGCGGCGGCGGCGTCGGCGGCGGCGGCGACGACGACGACGACGACGACAATGGCGACGACGACGACGACGACGACGACGACGGACGACTACGTCGGCGACGACGACG